CCAAACCCTATCGATCGATACGGATATATCGAGGGCAAACTGCCTTAAGTCGATACGAGCCGTTTTTCTCCCCCACATTCGCAAAACACAACCGAAACCCCAAAACCTCTCTTTTTCTCTCGATTCTTCACGGAATTCTCCCGTTTTTTTTGCCTCATTCGATTCAAAATCTTCTCTCTATCTCGATTTCACTCTCCAATCCGAAATCCTCTAAGGTATAACCCTTTTATTTTTAGATTTTTATGGAGAACAAAGTTTCACCAAAATTTTGGCTAGAAATCGGTAGATAGGTTTGTTTTTAATCGTTTTGAGTTGTTAGAATTGTTAGATTAGAGGTTTTTGAGTATTAGAACTAAGATTTACTCTATATACCTGCGATTTGGATTGTTGAGATTCTTGCAGGTTTCGCGACACGATATTGATCGACATCGAGCTTGCTTTGTCGATCGATATGTCCATCTTAGCCGGATCCAGAAAAGCACGAAATCGATCGTTATCGATCGATATCAGTCGATCACTATCGATCGATATCAATCGACTTACGTCGCTCGATATCTATGCACTTGACGGATAACTGATTTTAGTTTTCTTTCCTACTTTTTGCAGATGTCTACTCAAGCTGAACAGAGGGAGAGGCGAACCAAACGGAGGCTCGATAACCTTGGCGCCTCCAGCAGTCATCCTCCACCGTCTTCTTCCTCTTCTGAAAAGGAAGATGAGCGTGATCCTTGGCCACGTCGGGTTGGGGAACGGATTACAATCCACCAGCGTTTCAACAACCCGGAACGCACCGCTAAGAGTACCGAGTGCCTGCGTCGTCCTGTGAGTAAAGATTGGGACAACTATGACAGCCTATTCTACAACGCATGGCTCACTGTGGAGATCGCCCCCAGACGTTTCATCGATCCCGCTACTACCAGACGCCTCGGGATCGACAAGGATCTTGGAGATATGCTCATCCAACTGGGGTTCGGGACCATTGGCTCCCAAGCCTATCACCTTCATCCTGATCTCGTCCGGCAGTTCATGGCAACGGTTCGCTTTGAGTATCTGAACCAGCCACCGAGTGTTGCTTGTGATGGTGTTCTGTCCTTTTTCGCTAGAGACGTACGGTACTACGTAACTGTCCCCGAGCTCTGCACGATCTACGGCTTTGGGAACGAGACTGCCACCTCCAGCACCATCTCAGCCTTCCCAGCGGTTAAGGAGTTCCGGCAGATCTTTGGCACAGGCCCTTGGAGTTCAGCCTCAGTGGTTCAGACCGACATCCGGCACGCGACCCTTCGGTACTTCATGAGGATCCTTGCCGCCACTCTGCTCTGCAAGATGGAGCCCAACAAGGTGCGGATCTACGAGCTTACTTTGCTGTACCATGCGCTTGACGGACTGGTCGATCTGACCTTTTTAGACCTGGCGCGCAACATGGGTACACCCAACTTGGGTGCTGTCTTCGCTGAGCATCTACTCAGCTTGAAGACCAAGCCTTTCTCCGGTGGCAGAGGGAAGAAGAAGGAGACGGTAGGGAATCTGCTGACACCGATTGTCCAGCACTGTGGGATCCGTTTTGATGACAATGACGTGGACACTTCCCGGCACTACCTGGACGCAGAGCATCTGCATCACAGTGGATGGATGGACAGAGACCTCCTATGGTCTTTCAGGACCCCAGCTGGCGCGCACCGGTTCCGCCTGCCTCATCCAGAGACTACACGCTTTGGGGGTAACCTCGACAGGCTCCGTTCCCAGATCTCTCAGGGATAGAGACAGAGGAGGAGCAGGTCTACAGGAGAGGAGTGTTGGACGCTGTTCGCGCCATCTGGTCCCGCGTCTCGAGATGCCGCTGTTCTAGCCGAGCTAGTACTTCAGCTTTTGACCCGTCCCCAGCGACTTCATCCCCGCCGCCTGATCAGGGTGACGAAGGTGACGATGACGACGACGACGAGAGCAGTGAGGACTGATTCCTTTGCCCATATCTCTATCCTTTTATCCCATGCTACTATGTTGTTACTTTCATTTTCAGACTTGTAGTATTTTTATTCATACCTTTTATTTTCTGACTATTTTATTATCTAACTATTTGTGTGTTTTAAGAATGTCTAACATAGCTAACATCACTACATAACTCTTGGATGTTGAGTTGGTTGATTGAGATGCACAAATAGGTGACGGCACCTTATCGATCGATATACATCACCTCGTATCAATCGATAGGTCGAGATTGAGGTACGATTGTTCCTACTAACATGAACATATTTGCTACATTAATTTTCATTTCCTCTTAGACTAATAACACTGGGGACAGTGTTGTTTAAGTCTGGGGGGGGGGTATCTACTAACATTTTCATTTTTACTCTTATTACTCTTATTTTTATTTTTATTTTCATTTCTATTTTCAAAAAAAAAAGAAGGAAGTAATGATTATATTTAAACTTGTTACCTAACCACTTCCTAGCACCACTCTTAGATTTGTCAGTTACAGAAAATACTATAGATGCTAAAGTGGATCACCGATCACATATGTCAACACTTTCATGATTGTCTGGAAGAACCAAAGATGATTTCAAACCTAACCTGACATCTATTGCTTGTCTTGGGGATTGGTATACAAGGGACTGGAATCCTCTTGCAAGTCTGGAAGGTAAAAGTCTCAAAATTTTGGTTTCCTTCTTTCCTTCCTTCGGCATCCCCAGAAAATAAAAGATTGAGATGATTTCCTTAGAGGCAGAGAGAGAGGTACATTACCTATGACACCACTATTCTAAATCAAAGGAATGATCACACATTGTGGAAGCGAGGGAAAGGTAAATTACCTATGACCCCATTATTCGCCTACACTTTGTCAAAAGAGCTACAAAAAGTAGAAAGATCAATAAGATGAACATTAGTTGTTCATTGGGATTGATATAAAAAGAAAAGAGAAAAGAAAAGAAGAGAGAAATATTTGGATTCAGAGAAGGGGGATAAAGAAAGAAAGGGAACCAGGATGAGAATGCCTGAAACTTGTTTGAGTTGAATCCAAGTGTTCCTTGATCGATACTCCCAAGGTAAAGCCTACACCTTTATTTTTATGCACAAATGAAATCAGTGGAAGGGATAGACAGACAAGGAATGTTTAAGTTGATTGGCTAGATGTATTTGGTTGCTAAACTAGGATATTGCATGATGTATTTCTGGGAATTGATAGATATCTGATGTGGCTTGCAATAAGTAGAGAGGTGATGGTCCTAAGTCTAGAGTTGTCAGAGCTTCCGCTTTTCAAAACCTTCCTAGACCAATGTTCTATTATTTGCTTGAGGACAAGCAAAAGGATAAGTCTGGGGGAGTTGATATATCATGGATTTTATCCATTTTCAGCCATGATCTATATATGTTTTTGGAAACAAAAGGATACTTTTAGTGTCTTTTTAGAGCTTTTACAGATTCAGGTACTCACTGGTGTAAAACATGCATTTTGGAGCTAAAATGGAGAATTTATGAAGATATGAGCAAAACGATGTTTAAGCTATCGACCGATGCACGTTGAGAGCAATCGACCGATAGATGATTACCCGTATCGATCGATAATGCTGTTATGCATCGATCGATACATAATTCATCCAAGCGATTAAATGAAGATTAGAAGCCCTAATTGCTTCACAAGAGTTTTAATAATTTACATACTAAGTCCCTAGCTGCCTGTTAGGCTATATTAAGAGGGTTTTGTATTAGTTTAGGTAGACAATCTTGGAGACCTTTTAGACCTAATAAGGAGAAGCATCTAGCTATCTTTTGAGAAGAGTTTTGATGGAGAGAGAGATCTGAAACTACAATTACAAAGAAGATCTTGAACTCCCTTCTTACTTATTTTTTCTTTTTATTATTATCTTAAAGTATTATTCAGACCATCATGACTTTGTCTCTCATGAATATGTTTGAGTAGTCTTTCTTGTTAGAATTAGGTTTCTCATTAAGGTTGACTCATGCATTGAATAGAATCATTATTAGGGTGTTTAAAATATAGTTCTCAATCTAGTTATCAATGAATGCTAAGGCCAAGGATTGATCACCCTTACCTCTGATATTAGGGTCAATTTGGACAAGCGATAGCTTGGCAAATCCCCTAAGTCTAAGTTAATTTAATGAAGACTAGATACCTCATCCAAACTTACCTCTACCACTCGCTGGATGCGATATCGATCGACGTAGCGACAGCCATGTCGACCGATATAGCGGCATTAGCATCGATCGATAGTATCGACAGAAACATCGATCGATATTCCCTTCAGGTTATCGGACGATAGTCCTAACCCGAGATCCAGTGGAGTTAACCCTTAAATTCCTTAAAAGTTTGAATCTAGAACTATGAATAATAAAAACCCTTTACAACTTGCATGTATGTCATACCCGAGAAAATACCTAAGTTTAACTACCTTCTTCCTTCTTAACAAATCAACCAATCAATCAAGCAATTATTTGCTACCTTTTAAATTACTGTTTAAAATCTTATTGTCTAGCTTTATTCCGAAGACTTAATAATCTGTTGTGTAATTCTACAGTCTCTGTGGATTCGATCCCTAAGTACTACGACTGAACCTCTTATTTGAGAGAGTAATTCACTCCTTAGGGTTAAACATTTGAGTGATATCACATAGAAAGCTCATAATCCAAGACGAGCTGATTCTTACGAGCAGAAGCCTACAGAAACAAAGGACAATAGTGGTCACTTGCCCGGGAAAAAGACGATTGACCGAATATACATAAAAAGGGAAAGACCTTACCACCGCGTCCGCGCGGGCTGATTCAGCGAACTTCTGCGGGAATGCAAGGTCGCGGACTTCCGGCATTTCACGAGTACCACCTCTGATATGGCGGGATAACTCAGCGCAAGATCCCTGGTCGTTGCCGAAAGGAGAATCTTTCTTGTGATGAAAATCCCAACGTTCCGAACGGGCCAGCGGGGCTTTCTTGGCTGGCGGACCCGATCCACCCCAAGGTAAATTATGAGAAATAGGCGGTGTTACTTCCTTAGGAGGAGCAGACCGCTCGTCAACCTCTTGCAATCCTTTTTCCATGGAGTCGCTAGGACGATCGTCAATCGGCCTCTTTCTCCTCACCGATGGCGGTTCGGCCTCATCGATCCCGGTCAATTTCTCCCCAATCAAGTTCTATGAACCTATGACCCGCATGACCTCGTGATCTTCTCCAAGGGGGCCGTCTGAAGGGTCCTCATCACACACCTCGGCCCAGGCAGTTTCGACCTCTGTTGAATCGACTTTCGCTTTCTTCGATGACTTGTGTTTTTTCTTTTTCTTCTTTGGAGGGGTGTCGGCATCACGGTCAAGCACCTCATCCACTGTCACATCCCCAACTGGAGGATCAACTCCCTTGCCGAGCGAACCCCCGGCCTTCTCGTTCTCTGCCTCCAGCGCAGCAGCAGGATCAAAATTCTCGTCACCCTATTGAGTGTCCAGAATCTCACTAAAATTGGGATACACTCACGGAATTTTTCCCATTAGTGGAAGTGGTAATCTCTTGCCTTTACCCACAAGGAATATCAGACGCCCAATCAACTGAAAACAAAAATACGAAGTCATATTAACCACAGAAATCGATCGATCGATCGCCATGGAAATCCAAGAGAAGGCGAAATAAATAGAATACCTCGCAAAATTCGGTCACGCTGCCAACGAATCCTACTCCGGTCGAAATCGCCCCAGTCACTCTGGTCAAGCGCAACAATTCCCGTAACACCCTCCCAAAATCGCTCGGGATAATAGATAGAATTGGGATGAGAAGCTGCCAAAAACAAAAACAAGAAGAAAAAGATATACTATCAGCAGCAAACTCCAACGACAGCAGAAAAACAAACTCTAAACTACCAATATGGTAGTTCCACGAAGTACGAAAACGATCGTCCGGCGGCTCCTCGAAAGCAGCTTCATAAGATTTTATATAGAAGTAGGAGCGCTGCCAAAACTTGGTCTTTGTGGGATGGCTGGAAAGGATATGCAACCCCACACGCATTTGCAAAGCATACAAATCACACGGTTTTGGCTGTATTTGCGTTAACTCCTCAAAGATCCGAACGCTCATTGAAACATCAATTTCAGCCACCATCACCATCAGAGCCACAGCAAATCTCATTACCCCGTTCATCAATTGAGACATCGGAACGTCCCGACGTGTGCAATACGAAGTAACCAAACGAGGGATAGGAAACCATAACTTCGAATCCCTCTAAAAAAAGACTCATAAGCGCAGTGGAAGCCTACAGGTGGAGTCCACAGACGTTGGTCGGGACGTGGGATGATAAATGTAACACCATATGCCCTGCGCCCTCTCAACAATGTAGCTACCCCTCCCTCGGTAGACCATGTAGGCGATACATTAGCCCAATTTTTCCCTTTTATCTTGGACGGTCGAGTTTGACTTAGAGAAATGTCCGGTAACTGTTTGGCTACCCCATTCCTGTGGTAATAGAATGGAATCGATCATCCACTTACCATACACCCAGTTGAAGATCGCCCGGCCTCACCATCTCTGATTGCGTCCCGTTCAACCTCCCCTCCCGCGACGAGACCATCCGCAATCATCGGAGACTGATCAACCTCATCACCTCCTCCAGAAGACCGGGTGATGTCATCCTCTGCCCCGTCATCATTTTCTGGACCTCCCATCGGGGATCCCTCGGCTTCATCAGCATTGACCGAAGATCGCTCGGTCTCGTCCATCTCCGCAGAACTTTCTTCCGAATACTCTAACTCAGACATCCCCACATCGTCGTTCGAACATCGCCCGCCTCCATCTTCCCGAGCAGAGCCACCGACGCCATCAGATCAACCAAAGTCCAGACAAGCTTCGTCGATCGAGGCACCGCGGCAAGCACAGACCACTGAGCGTCGGAGCACGAGATCGGGCGGCGGCTTCCCGGACGGGCTCAGAGTCGATCGAACTCCCTTGCCCTTCTTAGCCGATGTGAATCTCCCTCTAGGAGTACTCATCGATCGAACAACCTAACGGATCTACAGATCCGTCCCTGGCGGCAGTAAATTTCCAGCGGCGGCGAAGCAGTAATCTCCGGTGGCGAGCGAAATGAATCCCGGCAGCGAGAGATTGAGCTTCACTCTCAACAAAAAAAAATATAAAAGAAGAGAAAGGAGAGAAGGGAGAGATATAAGAATACCTTGGAGTGGAGAAGAATAAAAAGATGGGAGAAGGATATTGTATTTATAGTGGAACTCACGGAGATCGAGGTCAGAGAATCCATTAAACCTAATGGGCCTAAATTTCCATTAATTCCTACCGAAATGGTCGCTCTCTTGTCAGAAAATACAACGAGACGAAGCCAATCTGAATCAAACGCAAGGAGTTACATATATATACATCCGATCGATCGAATGCATGTTAAAAACAAAGGTAGAACGACCGTGCAAATGGAGACGGAAGTAATTCGAGCCTGTCACCCTCAAAACCAATTCTCCACACTCCCCTTCCAAAGAACGAGCTTCTTGCAAGCAAACTGGGGGGGACTTATTGTTGGAGAGGGATTGAACACCTCCCCTCAAGGCCCGTCGAATAACAGGCTTCAGCCCATTTACGATCTATTTGGTTAAAGTTCGATTGAAAGAGGAAATCAAAACGAAAATTGAGCGACCGGTTCATTTCATTAAAAGCCCAACGAGCTCAAAAGCCCATCGATCTTGGGCCTTTCGAGCTAACTTTAGGGCGAACGAAGACGAGAACGGACTCAGTAGTATAAAAGGACGACATAGGTGAAAGAGAAGGGGATCCGCAAATAGACACAAGAATACTGACGGCAAGATCTAGGGTTTTACGACTGATCGAACTCCCTTGTATTCTCGTCGGCACTTTCACAAAAGCTCCGACCTTTTCCATTTCTCTTAGTCCTCTTGTAATCACATTCGTCATCGCATATTGAATAATAAAACGTCTTCTTAAGACCCACAAATTGAGTTTTTGCTTCAATTTCTATCAATCAAACAAACTCATATTCAACAAAGTTCTGAGTGTTATTGGGTACTTTCACGCTAACGAGAAGTTCGATGATCTGGAGCTTTGTGGTGTGGCGAAGAACATTGGTGATTACATCTCTATCTATTTTCCTTCTGCACCAATTCTGTTGGTAAAATTGTGTATCCTTTACACTCAAGTACATCAGTTAACTGAAGCACTAACTAGATAACCATCTTATGCTCTTTTATTTTTGAACAACAAAAAGCTGGAAGCCTTATCAAAGGGTAAAAATCAGAGCCATGTGATGCAGGTTCGTATTTTTAACGAGGAAGGAAGCCAATACTGCATTAATGATTTATCTAAGAGCATGGAGATCAGAGGCAATTAGAAGGTATTTGTGATGTTGTATTCACAGAAGGCGATCAAAGCTTCTATTAAAGTTCACATTGAGGCGGCTATAAAAAGAGAAGGAACAAAGCATCTTTGGTTTTTATATAGTATCTTTACCTAAGATTAATATTTTATTGTATTCAAGTTACACACATTCTCTTAATTTTTTGTATAATTATTGACATTAACAAAAAAATTTTATAAATCTTTGAATCATACAAAGGGTAAATTTTGGAGAGCTTAGTATAGGTTGGATATGAAATTTTAGAAAGTTAGCCGATTGAGTAAGCAATATGTTTATATCAAGGTCCTCTACACCAGTATATCTTTCTTGACATTGAAATTTTTGTTTTTACATATTGTTATTTCTATATAACACTACAATAAAAATGAGCTTCGGTAGCACTTCTTTGTAGCGCAAATTTACGAACTGCTACTAAAAGTAGCAAAATCGGATGGCAAGTATTTTTCAGCACTAAAGTAACGCTAGGATATAATTTTCATTAAGCGGGAACTTAACTCAGTATTATAGCGGGTAAAGGTAATTGCTGGAGGTAAAACAATTGGGTTTCCCCCCCCCCAACCAAAAAAATCTCGATTTTCCAAAAGAATCGGGTCTTTTTTCTTCTCCTTTTACACTTAGCTCCAAAAACAAAACAAAAAGCTGTCTCAAAATTTTCAGATTCAATATCAAAGTGTTTGATTCCACTGTGAAATCTGAATACCCATTGCATGAACTCTCGATTCCCATTGAAGAAATCTTGATTATCAATCCCACAATCTCCATCGAATCTCATCTCTGTAAGTCTTTGTCTTTGTTGTTTTTTCTGCCATTATTTCTCGATCCGCCGCCGTCTCTCTCCGCCGCCGTCTCTCTCCGCCGCCGTCTCTCTCCGCCGCTGTCTCTCTCCGCCGTCTGATTGTTTTGATAATCAATTGATATCTTTTGTTTCAGGTGAACTAAGATGGGCAAGATTTCTCGAAAAAAGCGTACACCAAAAACGAAGAAGATTAACGAGATAGAGGAGAAGCAGTGTGAAACTCAAAATTTGGGTAATGGAGTGGATGCTGATTTACAAGAGGGTGCTGAGTTACAAGATGATGCTAATGTACAAGAGGATGCGAATGAAGACAATGTAGTTGAACCAGTTGGTGATGATGCTGCTGCTGACAATGAAGATCATACTCTGAATGTTGCTGAAAATGTTGCTGAAGCAAATCGTAAAAGGAAACGAGGACAAACAAAGATGAAAAACATCGCCAAGGATCCAAATGAAAAGATTCACGTTCATGGGAGAACCTTGTGGTCCAGGGTCAATACCATTTGCATCATATTTAGGTACAATAGTACGGGAACATGTTCCTTACACAATCCGTGATTGGAGGAAAGTAAGTGAAGATATCCGACTTGTTTTGTGGAAATCTATTGAGGTATTCTGTAGTTTGCTTTTACATGTTGCTTCTTTTAATTAGAATTGCTTTGTGTAATTTCTGATTTTAAATGATTCATTTGAATGTAGGCAAGGTTTGATCTTGACCAACCATGGAAGAAAACTGCTGCATTTGGTCAGATGAGAGATATATGGAGATCCTCCAAATCTCGCCTTGTTTCAGCGGTCAGAGCAACTGATAACCTAAAACATAGGATGGATCTGCGACCACCTAATATAACTGAACCTGATTGGCGTAAGTTTATCAAAGAGAAGACTAGTAATGCATTTAAGGTAGTAAGTGATTCTATGAAGAAGAAAAGGATGCTGCAGATTCCTCATTGCCTTGGCCGTAAAGGAATGGTCAGAAAGAGAGAAGAATTAATCAAGGCAAGCTCAGACCCATCCCAGGTTACAAGAGCAAAAGTGTGGGTCGAATCACGCACCAAGAAGGATGGTACTCCTGTAAATACAGAGGCGGCTGAAATGATTGTATGTCCTGAATTCTATTCTTCTTAAGTTACTTAATATGTGGTCATCATTCATGAGTGATGTACATTACTATGTTATTTGTTTGCAGAGAAAGGCAGCCGAGCTAGAAATTGAAGGTACTAAGGATTCAGCTACAACAAATCCAAAGGAAGATATACTTAGTCAAATTTTGGGACCTGATAATCCTGGAAGACTACGGGCAATGGGCAGAGGCATGAGCTTGACTAAACTTTCTTGTTTCCAAGTCAACATAAGCTCTATGGCTGCAATGGAAGCAGATCATGTTCAAATGAAGAATATAATTCAGGATTTAGAGCAAATTATTGAAAATATTTATGATCAGGTTAGTATACTATATACACATTGTTTATTTATATAATATTTAATAAGTTTATATATACTATATGTTGATATGTTTCTGAAATTGCAGAGACAAGAGGGTGATGTTGGTGAAAACTCTACACATAAGAGTGTAAATACCAAAACACTTCCTAAGTGTAATTTGGTTGACTGGACTTCTGATGATAATGTTGCAGAGGCCCGTATTGTTTCTTATGATGCTGATGAATTAGTCCATGGGATACCTTTAGGGCCTAATGCAGTTAAGGTGTTTATTGAATCTGCTACCAAACCAGAAGCTCCACTATGGAGACCTATACCTGAGATGTCCACTATTGAGGATGTAGTTGGAGAAATGATTGCATGGGATGCCGATTTATGTATTGTTCCAAGCAAATATGGCATTGCAGAAGACATTGCACCTAAGGTTAAGTATCTTTTATTAATTGCTAATGCAGTTAGATCACACTTTATCAAATAATCCTTCTTCCTATTTTGTACCTTTGTTCCACAGAGCCCTAGAACAAGTTCAAAAAACAGATGCAAACTCAAGGCTTTGGGTAAGTGTGATGAAGTTGTAGCTGAAGGCAGATGGCAGTCTCGAGACACGAAAGCGTTAGTAAATGGACTTCCTATTGGTCCAAATGCAATCAAAGTTTATGTGGATGCGGTTTTAAACACACAGACATGGCTATGGCGGCCTACAGCGGACATGAGAACTCTGCAGGAATCTTTGAACTGTTTTATAGCATGGCCTGCTAATAGAGTTGTGATTGAGACAACATCGAATGAATCCCCTGTTCTTCAACAATCTACATCTAAGGGAGGAAGCATAAGATCTCATAATGAGCAGTCTCCTGTAATTTCTCATCTTGTTGATTTATTGATTTATTATTATTTTTTTGCTGGTGGTTGATTTCTGTCTATCTTGTTTGCTGGTTGTTCTTGAAGCGTCTTCCCTTCAAAGAAAATCAAAAATGCAAGTTGATGGATATATCCGGAAAGAATCGCGTTGTTGCTGAAGGACGTTGGTCGAGTAGTGATCCTGATCAAGTGGTACATCACGTGAAATTGGGGCCTAATGCTTGTCGAGTATGGGTGAATACTGTGATTGATAAAGATGCTGCAGTTTGGAGGCAAACCCCTGAAATACAGTATATGGCAGATGCACATGGAACTTGTCTTGCCTGGCCAGAAGATAAACTTGTAATGGTGAATGAGGACAAGTGATGTTTTAGTTTAAAGACATGAATACTTTGTGTACTTTGTATTGGATTTTTATGTTGCATCAAAAATTCTATGTTTGAGATATTATTTAATGGGTCTAGTTATTTAATTTTCGTTATTAAAATGTCTGAGTTTTTTGTTTTTGTTAC